TCCGGGATTTCCAGTTCTTTGGTTTCCGAAGGCCGTTCCTGACCTTTTTAGTTACTACACTCAGATTTTCTGTTGTTGAAACTCATCTTAGTTAATGCTGCAACTAGTCAGATTTTTCTGGAAAACACAGTTCTGCTTGTGATGGCTGAACATTCACCTTTGGCTGCTTTTTTAAAAAGTTGTCACGTGTTTCTTTCTGTGTATCACACAATTTTTTTTTTTTTTTCCCAAATATAATAGTCGTTTCTTTGTTTTCTATCAGCCATAAGTTGCCAGGCTCCTCCACACTGCGCTGCCCCGAAAAGGGCTTTAGAAACAATTAAAAAAAAAAGCAGACACCGCTAAGGTAAGTAAGTGGCTACCGAGTGTGTGTTCCCACAACATGGATGACCCACACGAAGCATCACAACCACCATTTCCCCAAATGCTGGCATCTTTGGGTGCCACTGAACACAAGAACTGAGAGACCATCAAACCCTTTTGCATTTCAAATTTACAGCTGAAAAATTACCGGACAGTTTTTGACATTTCCCTCGTGGTTCCTCACGTACCTTCACTTCTCCAGCTGCAAAATGGGAACCAAAGCCACCTGACATAACAGAGGTGGTGTGAAAAAGAATTAATGTTCGTGATGTGCCAGACACTAACTGAGAAAATCAAAAATGTGCCAGGATGAAATGTAATCTCATTTTAGGAAATGTTGAAATCATTTCTGCAGAAGGTTAAAAAAATAATAATCAGGCTGAGTCAGATACACAGCATGGAAAATTTCATCCCAAATGTTTACAGTTTAGCAATTGAAAGCAAGGCCTTATAATGCTGTGTTGGGTAAACTTAACTAATCTGCAAAAATTCCAGTTCTACTTAGAATAACAGTAACAGAATCAAAGCTGTACGGATTAAAAGCAAACGCCACAGCAATACTCGTACGGAGACAAGTGCTATCATAGCATTAAAAATAATATTAAAAATTGGCACGTAGACGGGGTATCCGAGGAACTCAGGATGTTTTCCAGACAGTAATTCATCCCATCTCCCAATATCCCTGTAAACACACAGCGCACGCTCTTCAGACAGATCACTAGGCAGGCAGGTTGGATCCCCAAGACGTTAGCCAACTTGCCACAGAGCGAGAGCCGGGCTCCCCAGGAACCTGCCTCGGGGCACTGCTCAGCCACTCCAACCCTGAGAGGCAGCCACCAAAATAACCACGCGAAGAGGAAAACTAGGGCCTGGAGATTTTTTAAAAGGAAAAGGGAAGGAACCGAAGGGGAAAACATTTTGTTTGCGATACAAGTGCCAGTCTGGGCAAGGCACGTGCCGGCCCTCCCAGCAGCGGGGCAGGGACGGGGCCGTGCAGGAGCCCAACCTGGGGCAGAGCTCTGGAGCAGACAGCCCCGAGGGAAGGCAGAGGAAGGCACTGGATCTGCTCTTCGCTTCGGGTTTAGCAATAGAAAGAGAAAATAAACACAGGCAAAGAGTTTTGTCTTCACGTAGTAGGTCACCCACCAACTCCTACAACTGTTAAGAAATCTACGTTCAGTGGCCTTGGGTCCTTTTAAGAGAGTCTTAAAGCAACGGCGGAAATTAAATGCTGCCTTCTAATTAGTAGTGTAGCAATTTTTTCATTAAGATACATAAAATCACTCCTGCGAACACCACAAATATTACATGTGCAGGGGAGGAGAACGCAAACTGTCCATGCAACAACGTAAGAAAAAGCGCCTCTGATCTTTTCTATTCTCATTTTTACCACATTCAACCAACTGGGTTAAATCAGCTTTGTAAACCTCGGGGAAAGTTTTCTCCCACAGCAAGTTCCCCCCCCTTTCCCCTCCGCTGTGCCTGCCTGTCCGGCGGGCTGGGGAACGAAAGCCTTCACAATGCTTCACCTTGTGCGGCGTGCCGGGCTGAATTCAGGGTCGTTAGAGCACTTTGAAGCAACACAAACCTAAATATTCCTGGTAGGCAAACGGAGGAGAGGAACTGAATTCTAATGAACCAGCAGCTGTCACAATATGACCACAGTAACCAAATCAAAATATCAACCACTAACCCAGATGAGATTCAAAGGTCACCACATAAGCCGGCAGCTTTCTTCAGCAGCGCCTGAAACCTCAATCTAATCCTTGCAGTGAAACGCTCCATCAAGCTGTAAGGGAGGTGAGAAGCAAGTTACTGCGCGTTGGTAAATGATCTGATGTACTAGCATGATACTCCAAGTAGTAGGATAAGAGACGTTCCCAAAGAGCAAGCCTGGAAATGGGAGAGGAGATGGGAAGCGGCACTTGAGGGGCCACACCAGCTATCTGCCCCTGCCACATGTCAGCGCTGGGCCAAAAAACTACTCGTCAGATACTCTTAAGAAAACACCTAGCAGGGTGGTGGGACTCGGGACGCACACAAAGCAAGCTGTGTTTGAACACACGTGAGCAGTCTGAGTAAGGCACACAGTTCTGCACCTTCCCTCCGCTCCTCCCCACAGGCCTTGCTCCAGAGCCGCACGCACAGGCTCCCTGCTACACACCGGCCACGTAAAAATGTAGTTTAAAAACAATGCAACAGAAGCCCTCATTTAAGAAAACATTTGTGGCTCATGGGTACGGGGTCAGTAACACCTATCCCCAATAACAACAAAGTCCTTCTTGCCTGGAAAACCGCCTCAAATCAGGAGCAACTCCATCCAAGTACACAGTATACACCAGTATAAAACCAGTTCAAGTCAGATGATTGTCTGACTCTGTATCAGTTGCCAAGAGAAGAGCATGGAAAGAAAATTACAGCGTGACTCTGCCTGTGCCAGCTGAGTAACACCAGCGTTTAGGGGCCCCTTTCCCTGGGGGAGTCCAGAGAAAAAGAAATTATAAAACACACGTGGAGTCAGAGGAGTCAGGAGCTGGCAGCCCGAGGAGACGGCACCGTGCACTGTTCGCCACCCCAACATTCAGGTTTCTCCTCAAATCACGAACGCAGACATGACCAGCGGTCTTTGTTGGGGCAAGGCTTCACACGCGTGGTCCTGGGAACCACAGAGGCCGTGTTGGTGCCAGTCAGGGTTTCCATTCGCACATGGCACCGAAACAGCCCTCCCAGCCAAGGCCCTCCGAGGCGTTGGAGAGGAGGGAAACGTGCACACATCCCAACAGCCAACCCTCCTCCTCCTCCAGCCTTACGCCCCGTGCCCAGGAGCGGAACAAAACCAGGGAGTAAAGGGCTGCCCCGATAAGAAGAGCCCACTCTAATTAGCAGAGAATTGGAGTAAAGCACCATTGCAAACCTCCGCGGGACGCAGCCGACGGCACACACATCATTGTGCAACAGCACCTTCCCAAGAGCCGTCGGTCGCTCGCCACACGCTTGCACACACGTTAATCTCCGCGTGTAGGAACGTCACCGGTCTCCTCTGCAGCTCAAATTATCAAATCTCACGAAACCCACAAACTTTCAGGGCACCTCGGGAGCAGGCAGCACGCGGATGCTGCCCAGGGCTGGAGCAGACGCCTCCCGCTCGGGTCTGCGGGGCCGCGACTGGGCCGGGCCAACCCTCCGATGGTGACAGGAGGGACCTCCCGGAAACATCAGCGTTTCCAAAGGTCCTCATCAGAGTATTCCACAGCTTAATTCTTTAACCGGGCGTCTCTGAATGTGTTTTTATAAAACAACTATTTCTTAAACCAAACAAAACTTGTATTTTCACTAAGACCGGCAAAAACAATCAGAGTCAGGAAAGAGATTTTTCTGTAACCCAAGGGCAGGCAGAAGAGAGAGAGTGAGAGACTTTTAAGTTCTAAAGACTCAAATTAAAGGTTAAACTAGAAAGCACCACGCGGCCCAGTGGGTTTCACAGAAGTGTGTGGCTATTTGCAAAGTGTCTCTGCGCACTACCTAAGCCCCATGGCGTGAGTTAAGAAGGGAGTGTTGAAATTTCCATGCTTTTTTTGGCTTATATCAGACCCTTTAAAACTGTTGTAACCATGTTTTGTACGTGAATACATACAAATGACTACAAGCTCCAACATTGTCCCATATGTTAAACAACTCACAGATATTTCCCAATATTAAAAGACAAGGCATATTTTAGGGACGTATATTAGAGCTGAAGAATGATATATCGCAGTTACAGCTCCATGTTTTTTTTGGCTCGCGTTCAACCCTTTAAAGCAAAGCATTTGGTTAGTTCATTGACAACTGCAGAAGAAGGGTGTGATCTTGGCCAAGCATAAGCATTACTAATATTTTTACATCATATATTTACTTTAACCAAACTCATTTATCAACCGTAATAAAGAAAGTAGCTATCATTCACTTACAAATAATTACAGCCTCTCTTCATACTGCTATGCTGTTTGCTGCTAAGCTAAATGATTATTCAGGGGTGTCAAAACCTTCTATCGTGGGGTGTGGGGTGGAAGGAGGGTCCCTGCCAAACGCCCTGGGCAAAATCTCACTCCTCTAAAGCAGAAGAGGCTGCAAGTGCCCTCGCCTGAAATCCAGGAGCCTGCAGCTCACAGGTCCCAGCAGGCAGCGATCCATCAGGCTCCAAAACAAACAATGGCTCCAGTGTCCCTCACCAGTTATTTATCTGTTCCCTTTTGTGAACGTATATTTATCAGATTTTCAGAAATCCTTTTCTACTTTAAAAGTCCTGTTCAGAGCATGTCCTTATTTTCTCTGCCAACTGACCACTTCTCTGAAAAGGAAAGGCTGAGCCTTAGGAAACAACCATTTAACTCTTTCAGCAAATACAGCAGCTCCTGCATCAAAAGCCCTATCCCTCTCACAGCAAGGAAACAGAGTCTGTTCGATAAACATCATCGACGTACATCTGTGGATTTGCATGATAGCTTAAAAAAAAATAAATCATCAAACTAAAAACGCACGTTCCCACCCTTACACCGAGTACAATCAACCCCCCCAAAAATGAGAATGAGGGATTTTATTTCTGGTTCACTTATTCCACTTTCAACAACGCGGTCAAGTTAGGAAATTCGATTTCTTACTTTGTATTCTGGAATTGACAAAAGGAGGAGAGAGATTGTCATGCGACCCAAGGTCTCTGCTCGCCATATGATCATAGTGAGTCCCATCTCCATAGTTCTGTTAACAAATCAGGAAAAAACACAATTTTACAAGTTTAAATGGCATTTTTTCAAAACCTACAGGCCTATTTCCCTCCTAACTTTTAAGCCAGCTAGAAGAAATATTATTTCCTTTACTGTTTTCCCCTATTGATTCTGCTGGAAGCGATATGTTCCAGAACATTTTTAAAGCTGTTTCAAATTTTTATTTCATTAGTAATTGACTTCACTTTGCTGTGTGGATAATCCTGAATGGGTGACTGAGATGAGGTCCTTGGAATTTCATGCAGGGCAATTCTGCATAAAGCCCTCTCAGCATAAAAGTCTTCTTGCCCGTAACATGCCCAAGAATAGCAAAGAAATGCTCTTTTTAACGTTTTGCTTTTTCAATCTATTTTAATGTTGGAATTTGCTGTCTTAATCACCTCGCTGCTATATACGTGCACTGGACTATCAAAAAAAATTTAATTTTTTTCGCAGTGGGTGTGGAAGTTACTTCTCACTGCAAAAACCACCCCACGTACCACTCACCCTTTGAGCGTGCCATTCTGTGGGTGGCTAGCAAGGGGCAGCCACCCCCTCCCGCCCTGCACCCCCCTCAGTACTCCTCCTCATTACCCGCGGAGTCAAGGACGTGTAAAATCCTTGCCAGGATCGGGCTCTTAATTTCCGAAACAGTCTTGGAGTAACCTTCTGCTTTCAGTCACTCGATCAGCAAAATCTTAAATTTAACTACAGATATTGCCCAAGCGCAGCGGTTATGTAATGTTTTGTTTCTTTGGTTCAGAAGAACTCACGAGAAACTAATTCTCTCAACGTGGAAATACCATCATCATTTCACAAAGGAGGAAAGAGAGGGAGGTCAGGCTGTTTGCAGAATAACACTGCAAGTTAATGCACAGGCTTGATTGAAACTCCAGAATTCTTCCCAGGCTCGTGCTCTTTTCTTTATATCTCAAAACTTAATTGTACACTCACATTCAAGTTTTTGCATGCATAAATAATTGTGTGTGCAAATTTAGAATTTACTTTTCAAAACATTTTTCCCTCGGAAGCAATACAAGTGTCAAGTAAAAAAAAGGGATAAAAATAAAACTGACAGATGTGAGCAGTAAATGACGTAATGGATGCTAAGCAGGATGGAATAAGAAAAGGTGTCGGGCTTCCCTCCCTCGGCGGCAGGGCCGGGGTCCCCTCGCCACGCTCTAAGTGGGGGACCCCCCATCCATCCGCCAAGGGCAGGACCTGCCCCGAGGGGAAAGGACGGGCCGGGGATGAACAGGGCAAGCACATTTCTCCTCGCCAGACAGACACTGGAGGGCACGGAGCTCCCGGGAGCGCTGCTCGCCAGCCCCGATCCTTCACGTTAATTAGAAAACAATTAAAAAGCAATTTAAACAAACTGTTTAAATAAGGGCGTAAGTAAGAGCGAAGCCACTTTTTGCCCAGCCTAAGTGTACTTCATGCGTTTGCAGGAAGTAAATAGAAATAATCATCCTGGTGTTGAAGCACCAGCCGTGCCAGGCCCCGGGGATGCTCCGGCTGCGGAGTGGGGCCGGCGAGGCCCGCGCTGTTCTGCTGGAAACAGCATTTCCTCCCTCCCCAGGGAACCGCTTCTAGCTCCTGAGGTGCCTAAAAAATTGGGGTAACTGTCCCCAGCCACAAGCAGAAGGACTGAGCCCAGCTATCCTGCAAACCCCAGGCCATGCTGAGCATCGCCGGGCTGGGGAGTGGCTGGGTGCCGGCCGTCCCCCAAGGGGGAGCCCACTCAGTGTCCGCTGTTGGGGGGACACACACGTGCCAAAACCACCCGGCTTGCAGCCCCTGCCCGAGGAGGAGAGCTTGAAACCCCCCGGCCTGAGGCACGGAGCGGCTGAGTGGGAAGGGCAGGGACGTGGTGGGACAGCCCTGCCACGCTGGGACAGACCCGGCGGCCCCTCTCCAGCTTTGCTGCCCTGAGCTCGGGCCCTGGGGTGGCCACAGGTGGCCGGGGAGTGGCCAGCAAGTTGAGGCCCTATCCTCAGGCTCGGTGACACCCACAAGCCCTAAAAATCCAACTGCGGGAAACGAAACATTCAGTAACATCATCTCTGCTCCACCTGCACTCTGAGTAGTGGCGGGGGTTGATAGGGCCTAGCAAGAAAAAATGGTTAATTAACATTCTCGCTACCTTTAGAAGTAGCAGAGCAGGTGCCAAATTCAATCACAGAATCGGGTTTAAATGTTAAAAAAAAAAAAAAAAAGAAAAAAAAGAAAAAAGCCATTTTAAAGAGAAGACAGGCTACAGCCGACTTTGCATGCCCATTTTTCTACGCAATCAGGTGTAAAACTCGTATTTAAGATTGTAAATTTACATATGTAGGAAGTCTGGTTTGGGGAAAAAGATTAGATATACTTACCCTGGATGGACTAGGATGTCCTGCATTCCCCCAGGACCCTGAGCTAGTTCTGTCTTCTACATCTAGGGACAAAAAAGTTCTTTAGGCTTTATTGCAATAATTCTTTCCTTTTGTATAGGCACTTTTAAATTAATGTTTCAAATTAATCTCCTGTTGCCTTTAATTAAGAATCAGGCACAGGGCTACTACGATGGTAGTGGCTTCTGACCCACTGCTTAAATTAACTCATTTAAATTCACAGCAGAAATGAACCGGACCCTCAGGAACCTGAGGTTTGAACATAAAAATTACTTCAGCGGCTCAGTGTTTCTCGACACTTTAAAAAGTGACTGAGCTGTACCAGTTAAAAACCCAGCAAAACCTCCAGCACAAAACCAGGTATTGTCAACCAGTAAAAAGAAAACATGATGAAACCAGAGAAAACCTAGCAAGGAGGCAGATTTGGGGTAAATGTACCTCTCCCCACCTCACCTAGGCTTCTGCTGCAGAAAAGCATTTACGCACGTACTTGTACCTCCAGAAAAGCCCGTTCCAACAGCCAAGCACGGAGGGGGCATTTCCCTCTTTTCCTCTATCATTTGATAGAAAATGACTGGGTGGGAGACACTCCGGCCAGCCCATTTCGGGGTGATTTGACCCCTTTTCCCCCTCTGTTTGCGAGGGCGCCTCTAGGAACCACACGTGCTAGGCCGTGGTGGAACCGGCTGCTCGGGTATGGACCAAAACACCAGGACTCCTCCGAGTCCCTCCTGACTTTGCAACACCACGCAGGAGGGTCTCAGCCTGCCATTTTCTTGGGGGCGTTTATCTGCGCGCCCGAGGGACAGCCTGGCAGTCACCCCGGGAGGGCGAGGTGGCCGGCGGTAGCCAGCCATGGCTTCCGTACGCAGGAGGCCAGCTGGACCGCAACACTGCCTTTTCCCTGACAAAAATCAGGTCACGGGCACATTCCGCATATGAATGCTCTCCACATTTCACAATTCCCAGTATTTCTTCTCTGATGCAACTATTTTTATTCCACTTTCCCCAAGTCTTTCCCAGTATTGTCAAATAATCCAATTTATTGTTAAAACTTCCTCATGATGCTGAAAGCTCTTTCAAACGTGGAGGCTACAAAAAAATTTCAAAAAAGAGACCCACGCAGTAGCTCCTTCCAATGTTACCCCAACTACACAAGGCTGTCCCTCTCGGGTCCCCCCCAACCAAGCAGCGACGTGCCCCCCGCCCTGGGCTGGCCACGCTATTCTTGAGGTCCAGGAGAACCCCCGAAGTTGTCTCCATGGGGTATCACTGACACCGACGTCGGAAGATCCACACCAGCACCCTCGAGTACGCCGGGACGCGCTGGCGCAACGCCCGCCGACACAAAACCCCTTCCTGAAATGAGCTGGGAGTCTCCTGAGACTTTCCACTTGGCTAAAAACTTAATGGTTAAACATACCGCCCGTTCAGCGAGGCACTCGCGCGCAGGTTTAATGGAAGCCGGTGAATAATTCCACTGAAATCACAGCCCGCTCTTGTGTTAATTCAAGTAAATGAGATCACTCATGCTTAACGTTAAGCACATCCTTTAGTACATTGACGGACTGGACCATACTGCTTAAACCCATTACTTTTTTTACTTACAGTATGTTAAACATCAGGAAATGTGATTGACATTGATCTATAACAGTATTACTGCACATTTCGGTGCTATTTTCCAACATACTCCTGTGTACCCACCCGCATTCTAATGAAATAATACTACTGCTTGCCTTCTGCCATGCACAAACAGTAGCATTAATCTAACTGGAAAAATACATATTTGTCTAGAGAAACTTTCTGTGAGCACTGCTGAAGACGAGGCAGGCGAGCAGCTCCCTTTCCACCCGCATCGTGTCATCCAGACTTCTGGGATCGGTGGGAACTGCAGTTGTCTGAGAAGCAGATATGGCCATTAGCACTTTAAAATACGGGTGCCGTGACCAAATCTGGTTGATTTCCAAGATTAATTTTTTTTTTAAAATAAGAAAAAAAAATAATCCACAACCCACAACACAAAAAGCCCACACATTTGTATAGTTTAATACTTTCCCCCAATTACAATTCCTATTATCTCAATAACAGATGAACGTGTTAATAGCACAAGACACTCTTAGGTAAATATTTAATTAAGCTCCAGAAAAAGAAAGAAAATGTGTATCATTTACCTGACAGATCAGATCAACCATTCTATTAGGTTAATTAGGCATATTTTTAAAAATCATTTGTGTTATGTAACAGGCAATTAACTCTGTAGAGCCCCGATCCATCGCTTGCTAAAAACCAGTGGATATTATCCCGTTGGCTGTGATGAGCATCGTCCCACCCTCGAGCGTAGCTTCCAAAATCCACCCGCGTGCACAACAGCTCAACCCTCGGGAACAGCCCCCGGGGGACCGGGCACCCACCTCCGGGGGGGGGTGACAACCCCAGGACCCACAGGCTGGGCTCCAGCCCCGCAGACCCACAAGCCCACTCGCGGGCATGGAAAACAGAGGGTAAAGGACAGAGCCAAGAGCCCCGCTTTTGTGAACGTGGAGGTGTTATTCACGTAACTCCCTGCTAGAAACTTCATTTATTAATATACTGATTTTCTGTAAAAGTCGTATTATTTTAGGTTATCTATGTCATCAAGGCCCCTTACACTGGCTCACAGCACGATTTACGTTTACAGGCTGCCGTACTCTACATTTTTATTTCTATTTTAAGAATACAGACGCTGTGGCCTTGGGCACTCTAAGGCGCCACCTAAGGTCACCCTGTGGAGGGCTGGGTTCTGAGCCGTAACCCTCACGTGCTGGGGCTCAAGAGGGACAGCAGAGAGGGAAGGGGACATCCCCACACCTGCCCGGGCAAGGGGCACACTTGGTTGCCAAGCCCTTCCCTTTGGGAGCCCAGCACTCCGCTCCAGATGAGTCTTCTGTCTCCCCTCCCACACGACACTGGGCCGACACACTCGATTTAACCCACCCGTGGCGCCTCATTTGAGTCACATACTTCAAACCCCATTTTTTTCAGACTCGCGCTCCCAAAGATGTCCAGTACTTTCCAGTAGCACATGGAAATTCCAGCTTCACGGCCAATTTCTGGATGGTCCCAATGACGTGAAAGGAACTATTTACACACTTGCAGTTAAACGTATGTTTTTGTGGCGAGCTGAATTCCCACCCTCTGTCCTTTCCGTCCTCTTTGCTCCGTTATCCCTGCCTCTCCCTTGAGCCATGTGAGCAGAGGGCACTACCAGGTGCTTAAAATAAGAGGGGAATAACACATCTCAGGGCTGGGGCATTCCTGGTCTCCATAAACATCCCAGACCAAGGCCCTGGGCACAGCTGAGACTAACCCAGGAAGCCCTGCCTAAGCAGGGGGAAGCACGGCCAAGCGGGAAGAACAGTCCTGGGCAGGGAGAGGGGCAGCTTTTGGGGATGCATCAGGGGAAGGCTGAGAGTAAAGACATGCAAACATCATTCTTCATCCCCAAGCATATTACATCAGGTGGAGATGAGGAGAGTAACCTTACAGAATCATTCTGTAAAATCTGCCTAGACTCCAAAACATTTAGCCATCTCCATTTCAGCTGAAAACTCCTTGCCCTTTACCTTGTTTTAGTCTGAGCCCATATAAGGCTCAAGGTCTTCCACCAAAGTTAAAAGTTCTGGACTCTGATCAGAAAACAACAAGCAATGGCTCTTGTGCCTTATCTTCAGGGGTCGCGTCTTCGCTTTCAACCAATTTTCTTTGTATTTAGACTTAAATGTGCAAACTACACTATATTACTCTGCAAAACATCAATGAGAAGGCTTAATTAAGTAACACTGACAGATAAATCCATTTCTTTTGCAGTAATCAAATCAAAGCAGGTTGACATAACACAGGAACTTAATACAGTTATTCCCTTGTAATTGGAAAAAGGCCCTTTACTTCTCATTAAAGCAATCTTCTGGGTATTGGCATAATAAGAAGGCTCAGGGCTTTAATACTGCCCTATAAAAGCCCCAAGATACAGACCCCTTAAGCAAACATGCCAGATTATCTAATTCCTTGATCACAGTGGAACATGTAGTTATTGTTTTAAACTACTAATTCTTTATCTCAGCTACAGACAAAAAGAAGGAACTCAGTCTGAAACACGTATCACAAAGCTCTATAAAAATGCAAGCTCTAGCTAGGGAAAAAGATGCATTTTCAAAAAAACCCACAAACCAACCGAATTACTTCTTCAGCTGGGAAACTGAGAGCTTAGCAAGATGAAAATTGTTCTTGGACATAAGCAGTCATAAAGAGCAAATAATAAAATACAGATTTATTGCATTTGTGAACCTGCTGAAAAATACTATTCCCTGTATTTTGTCAATGGAAGCAGAGCTGGGCAAAGCCTTCCTGCTGCTGCTGGGCTCTCCCCCACTGTCGGAGGCACCAACTGCCTCCAAACCCCCCGAGCAGCCCGGCTTCTCCCCGGACCCGCCAGCGGATTCGGTGCGTCCCCGGCGCGGGTTATGCCCTGCACGGAGCCCTCGGCCACTCCGTGTGCCCGGGGCCGAGAAGGGCTTGGTGGTGGGCTACAACAGATGGGCACCTCTCTGTCTCTCTTCATCTTCTTTACGATGGTGTGATCCAGCAAGAGTCAAAAGCCAGCTGACTTCTGTCCCCCTCTAACCAGCCCTCAAATCAACAGCGCTTCTCCCTCGGCAGAAAAGAAAAAAACCCTCACTAATTACTACCTAGTTAATCTAGCCTAGTTTACTAATAATTTAGTATGACAGATATGGCAAGACGGTTTGTAAGCTCCTAAACCTAATTCCGGAAATTTATTATGTACCCTGTAAGTACTGCCACTTAGGTAATTAGGACAGTGAAACCCTAATGACACCAAAGTCAATACAAAATTCTCCAGTGACTTATTCTCAGAGCTTGGATTTATCCCAGAGTGCATAAACCTGAACACATATGTAATTTTCTCCAGAATCTGGCTCCTGTAAATTAACCTCACTTAATCACAAGCATTAGGCACCGCGACGTTACAAAAAGCAAATCATCACGG